CCTAAAATTCACCATCACAGTGTGATTGGAGGTAGAGAGTATACCCTGATGAAAGAAACTGCAGAGAATGAAACCCCCCCAGGGGACAGCAGAAACCCCAAATGGAACGAAAAACCACTTTGGAGATTCCTCAAAAACAGAAAACATAGGACCAGCCCATGGTGTGGTGATTAAGGCAGCTGGATCCCTCATGGCCTACTGTGAGGTTCCAGCCCTGGCCCTAGCACTTGAGAATCCCGCAAGTGTGTGTGTGCATGTGTGTGTGCACGCGCGCGCGTGTGTCCGAATTCCCAAAAGGAGAAATGGACAAGGAATCGTGGTGTGATCATCCTCTATGGCGAATGCTTTCCGATTTTCTCTCTCTGGCTCAGGCAAGTGGATGGGACCTCTGGCAAATTCAAAATGAAACAAGACAAAACAAAGTGCCTGGTGGGGTGGTGGTCAAGCAGGCGGAATGGTGGCTAAGCGACCGGACTCCCATATGGCCGACCATGGTTCAAGGCTGGGACCCAGCAGCTTACTTTCTCCCTTTCCCTGTCTCTCTGTCTGTCTCTGGTCAAATTGAAAAATAATCATGATGAATAAAGGGGCTGGCAGGTGGCATGGTGGTTAAGGGCACTGGACTCCCACATAGCTGACCGTGGTTCGAGTCCCAGACCTGGCGGCTTACTCTCTCACTTTACCTTTCTCTCTCTCTCTCTGGTCAAATTTTAAAAAAGAATAACAACAAATGGAATTAAATAAATATTTTTTAAAATGATAAATAGGTGGTTCTTTAAAATAATAATAATAATAATAGGGGCTGGCAGGTGGCGTGGTGGTTGAACCTCCTGGACTTCCACATGGCCAACTGAGGTTCGAGTCACTGATGTGGTGGCTTGCCTTCTTGCTCTTTTATCAGATTAATAATAATAATGATAATACATAAAATGAAATATAATTCTAAAAGAGTAGTAAGCAAATCCTCCCTTTTTAAAAACTGCCTGTGAATTTATGTTCCCGCAGGAGGGACAGCCTGTCTTGATGACTGACTAGTTCAGGACAACTCTGAAGGCTGAAGGCCAGTGCCTGATACAGAGCGGGATTGGGCCACGGGCGCCCTCTGCAGGACAGCGCCTGACATTGAGCCCTTGCCTGTTCTTAATTTTATTCGTTTTGTTTGTTTGTTTTGTTTTTAGTTTTGCAATACTTATTGCAGAGAGGCTGAGAAAGGGAAACTGAGACTTCACCTCCTCGAGGGAGGTGACCACAGTCTCTTCTCCTCCATTCTTTTTTTTTTCTTTTTTTGGAGAGGTTTTTGCTATAGGGCGCGTGCGCTTACCAGACAGAGACATAGAGACAGACAGCGAGAAATCACCCCCCAGGGGGGATGGTCACGCCGCAATCCCTTCTCCTCCATTCTCCTCTCGGGATCTTGGGCATGCACGCACATGCACCCGGCATGAGTTTTAAGCCACCGAGTCCGGGACGCGAACCGCGGTCAACTACATGGGAGTCCAGCGACATAGCCATTACACTAACTGCTAGTTCCCAATTTTTTATTTTTTTAATTAAAGAATTATTTTATTTATCTTTGTTTGTTTAAATTTGACCAGAGAGGGACAGAGCAAGAGAGAAAGAGAGACAGAGACAGAGAGAAGGAAAGCGAGAAAGCAAGCCACCAGGTCCAGGACTCAAACCATGGTCGGCCATGTGGGAATCTAGCGCCCTTAATTAAGCATCACGCCACCTGCCGGTTCCTAATTTATTTATTTATTTTTATTAAAGCATTATGGAATTTAGTGCCTTTTAACCATCTCACCACCTGCTGGCCCCAACAAGGCATGAGTTTTAAGCCACCAGGTCCAGTTGGCAGTGTGGGTTCCATGACACCTGGCTGGCCCTGGCCCTACTTTTTTTGTTTTTTAAGGTTTTTCTCATAGGGCACAGGCACTCACCAGAGAGACAGAGACAGTGAGAGAGCAAGGGAGACATCACCCTCCCCCCCCAGGTCAAATGGCCACACCATAATCCCTTCTCTTCCATTCTCCCCCCTGGGATTTTGGCATGCAAAAGCACCCTCGTAATTTCCAGGCCAGTGGGTGCAGGACTTGAACCGTGAAATTGGCCCAGTGGGATTCAGCGCCTTAACCACCATGCCACCTACTGGCCCTTTTTTTTCCCCAGAGGGATGTGCACTCACCAGATAGAGCTACAGGGAGATACCATCCCCCCTCTATGGACATGCTTTTAATGATTATTTGAGTGTGTTACGGTGACAAAGTGATACAGACTTCCCTGAGGAGTGGACAAGATGCCAGACATGGAGCTGAAGAAGCCGCCCTTCCGCAGGTTCGTTACCGGTAGGCTCTGCCAGGGGCTGGACCATCCTGAGTAGCGGAAGCCGCAGGGCAGCGCCTGGTAGCTCCCGTGTTCATGGTTCATGGCTAAACCGTGGCTGGAGGAAACAGCGCTCAGTGCGGGGCCAAGGAGGTGTGGCAGAGGAGAAGGCACAGGTGGCAAAGATGCACCTGCAGGCCCGGAGGAGGTGGGCAGCAGGGAGGGCAACTGTGAGGGTGAGACCACCCAGGTGGAGACCAAGCCCAGGATGATCAGCCAGGCCCCCTGGGCAGGGCAGGCGAGTTCTCCATTACCTACAGGCCTGTGGGCACTAATGACCATGCCTTGGCCACCAGCTGACGCCAAGTCACCTAAGTCCCTGGCAAAAAAGGAAAGAAGGAAAGATAACAAGAGCCAGCAGATGGTGTGGTTACAGCACTGGACTCCCACGTGCTGGCCACAGTTGGAGTCTTGGACGTGGCCACCTGCTTTTCCCACTTTCTCTCTCTCTCTCTCTCTCTGGTGAACACACATGGCCTATACCAAAATTTTTTGAGGGGTTTATGCTATAGGGCACGTGTGCTTGCCAGAAAGACAGGGAGAGACAGAGAGATAGAAAGCGAGAAATCACCCCCAGGGGGGATGGCCACGCTGCAATCCCTTTTCCTCCATTCTCCTCTTGGGATCCTGGGCACGCACGCACACGTTCCTCTTGGGATCTTGGGCACGCACACACACGTGCCCGGTGTGAGTTTAAGACACCGGGTCTGGGACTCAGACCGCAGTCAACTCCGTGGGAGTCCAGCAACACAGCCATTACACCAACTGCTGGTCCCCCCTAAAAAGCCTTCTTAACCTCTTTCCAACTGGGAAACTTTGGACACATCACCACACCTCTGCCCAGCAGGGGAGTACTCAAGAATTAGCCGATGATGGCTAAAGTGGCTTCATCCCAAATGGTTGACTCCACGGTTCAAGTCCCAGACCAGGAGGCTGCAAAACCATGCTGAGTCGCCAGGCACACCTGCATGCCCAAAGCCCCTAGAGAATGGAGAAGGGATTGCAAGCTGTTCATTCCCCTTCTGGGATGTTTCTTCACTTTCCCTCTCACTCCCATTTCTCTCAGGTCAGTGCACACACCTTATAGGAAATTAAAAAAAAAAAATGTGGTTGGGTCAGTCCCCCGTGGTCTAGTGGTTAAGAAAGCTGGATCCTGGGGCCGACAAGTGGCATGGCGTTTAAAGCCACTGGACTCCCACATGGCCGACCACGGTTCAAGTCTCAGACCTGGTGGCTTGCTTTCTCACTTCCTCTCTCTCTCTCTTTCTCTCTCTCTGATCAAACTGGAAAGTAATAATGATGACAATAATAAAGTTAAATAAAATAATTCTTAAAAAAAAAAAAAAGAAGAAGAAAGAAAGCTGGATCCCACATGGCCAACCACTGTCAGAATTCAGCACGTGTAGGAACCAGTAATGGCATAGTGGTTACGTTGCTGGACTCTGATGTAGTCAACCATGGTTCAAGTCCCAGATCTGGTGGCTTGAAACTCATCCCGGGTGTGTGTTTGTGCATGCCCAAAATCCCAGGAGAATGGAGGAATTGCGGCATGGCCATCCTCACTGGGGGAGATTTCTCGCTTTGTCTCTCTGGCACGCACTCTATAGCAAAGATCTCTTAGGAAAGGAGGGGGGCAGCAGGTGGCATGGTGGTTAAGGTGCTCCCACATGGCTGGCCACAGTTCAAGTCCTGGACCTGGTGGCTTGCTTTCTCACTTTCTTTCTCTCTCTCAGGTCAAATTTAAATACAAAAAGTTAAATAAAATAATTCTTTAAAAAACAACAGTTGTCTGTTTAAGAACAAATTCCAGGTAGCAGCAGGTGGTGTGGTGGTGAAGGTACTGGACACTCCCACATGGCCGACCACGGTTTGAGTCCCAAACCCAGAGGCTTGCTTTCTCACTTTCTTTCTCTCTCTCAGGTCAAATTTAAATACAAAAAGTTAAATAAAATAATTCTAAAAATAAAAAGAGGCCAGCAGGTGGCGTGGTGGTTAAGGCACTGGAATTCCCACATGGCCGACTGCAGTTCAAGTCTCAGATCTGGCGACTTGCTTTCTCTCTCTCTCTCTCTCTCTCTCCCCGTCTTTCTCTGGCAAAACTCATGTGAAAATAAATAAATACACAAACAGGCAAACGAACGAACAAAATAACTCTTAAAAACAACTCAGAACATCAGAAACAACAAATTCCAGAAGGGAGGCTGATGTGGGCAGATGACGGGCAGCGGGCACCAGGGGGCAGCCGCGGGCTTCTCTGCAGGCGCCTGTCCCAGGCCCAACCCTGCGCAAATACAAAACAGCTTGCAAGGATGTGGGGCCCGAGCCCTGGCACGAAGCAGGCCTGGTGGCATGTGTCCAGAGCGTGTGACTGAGGCGGTGGCCAGGCCACCACCGCCTTGTGGACTCCGGGGACCAAGGCTGAATAAGGGGGCATTTGTTCCGCCAGGGCCAGGCTCTTTCCGGAGAAATCGGAGCCGTCTGAATGGCGGGATTCAGGTGGAGACAGGGCCCCCGCAGACCATGCGCTTCCTGCCCCTCCTCCTTGCCGTTGGGAGAGGGGACCGAGCTGGGGTTCCCCCTCGCAGCCGCCCACTGCCCCCCACAAACACGCCAGGCCGACCTGTACAATAGGCACTTTATTAGTGGGTCTGGAATGCGCTGACACGCGGGGCTGTGCAGACGGGAGGAGGGGGCGTCCGGGTTGGCAGCAGCGGAGGAAACAGGACACCCCGGGCTGGGAATTCTGTCTCCAGAATCCTGGGGCAGTGTTCCCGAGCCCAGACAGGAAGTCGGGGGGTTTGGATATGGCAAAGGGGAAACCGCGAAACCGGGTCCCCTGAGTTCCAACAAGTTTGGCAAAAAGAGCCTGGAGGGGAGGTGATGGGGCAGAGGGGACCCCGCTCGCCCAGGGCATCGGCACCTCTTCCCCTGAAGCCGCCCCCGGGGGGCTCAGGTTCCTTTTCTTACAAAGACAGGCCTGTCAGTTACTGGCTCGGGGAGGTCGGCAGGGGCTTTCCATCCAATTGCTTTCAGCCTCCCCTCTGGACTGGCCACGTGGGGCCCTTTCAACCCCTGCACCCCCTCATCCACACCGCAGCGCCCCCAACCGGCTCAGCCAGGAAACACCCCCACCTGGGCGCACACCACTCCCCCAGCTCTGGCCACACCAGACAGGGCCCCTGCACTCCCCTCATCCACACCCCAGCGCCCCCAACCGGCTCAGCCAGGAAACACCCCCACCTGGGCGCACAACACTCCCCCAACTCCGGCCACACCAGGCAGGGAGAGGGACACAGAAAGGCACTCATGGGTGGCCGGATCCCAGCTGTTGAGACAATTGGGGGGGAAAAAAAATAAAAAGCTAAGAGACCTTTTAATGCATGTACGGGTTTAAAAAAATTAAGAAACGCTTCTCATGGCCCTTGGGTCACCTGTTCAGCCATGAAAAAGGAGTTCATTCGGCCCTGGCAGGAGCAGGCAGGATTAAATGGGCCAGTTGGGAGCCAAGAGCCCCCGGACCTGGCCAGCACTGTCCCCTCTCCTTCCTGGTGTCTGTCCCATCATCCGAGGGGGACAGGAACCCTGGGAAGGCGCTCAGAGGTCGGACCACTTCCCAGACACCAAAAAGCCCCCCTAGAGACGGCCTCCCCAGGTCAGTGGAGGACTGACGGGACTCACTTTTCAGTCTTGGGGTGGAGGCACGAAACCAAAACCCCGACTGCCCCTTGGCCCAGGGAGGGGGTGCCCCAAATCTTCCAGGTCCCCAGAAACAGGTGGCAACTGGATAGTGTGGGGTGGAGGGAAAGGGGGGCGGCAGTGACAGGACTTGAGACAAGTCCCACAGGCTGGGGGTGCTGACTCCAGCTTGCCCAGGGCACCCCGAGTATGAGGCTTCCCAAGAGGTGGGAGAGGGCAGGCCCCTTAGGACTCCAGCTTCTTGTTGGTCTTGTTCAAGAGCTTCTTGAGGGTGGAAGACATGTAGTAAGGCCTTTCGGCCGAGCCATCATTCCTCTCCAGATCCTCCACTGTGGAGAGAGGCCCCAAAGCGCGAGGAGTGAGGGCGGCCCCGGGGACAGGGACCTCTGGGGACAGGGCGGGCGGACGAGGGCCACAGAGAAGCCTCAGAGGGTTAGAAGCGAGACACGCCAGGACAGGGGCGGACCGTCGGGGGCTCCGCATGGACACACACCATCCCCGGCTCCCAGGCACCCCTCCGCATGCACCCCGGGTCTCCGGGAAGCAGACCCGGCCCCCAGACCCCCACGCCAGCTCCCCCTCACTCTCTACTCCTCAATGTCCTCCCTCTTCCCCTCCTCCACACTCCCCTTCAACAGGATGTCTCTTAGCTCGGGCGACATGAAGTAGGGTCGCTCCTGAGAGCCGTCATTCCTTTCCAGATCCTCACCTGGGCTCCCCCGGGGAACCGGCAGGGAGAAAATGGGGTGTTCAGGAAGGGAGGGAAAAAGAGGAAGGCAGGGAGAGCACGGGGAGGCCAGCAGGCATGAAGGAGAGGAAAGGAAAAGAAAATACACACAGAAAGAGACAAGACAGGAGAGACTGGAGTTAGTGGCAGCCACAGCCCCAACAAAGCCAGAAACTCCCAAGCCGGGGGCCCAGGGCGGGGTGTGGAATATTCCAGCTGCAGCCCGGCCCCCGATGAGAGGGCAGGGCGGCCCCAAGCGCAGGGAGGAAGCCGAGAAGGCACCGAGGACAAGGCATGTGGAGTCCCCGGGGAAGCTGGGGACATTGCTCGGATGGCCAGGTTGCCCCATTGGAGAGAGATGGTCTACCCGGTGGGGAGGCAGGGCTGGCAAGGACTGGGGTGAGGGGTCACTCACAAAAGCAGAGGAACAGCGTGTCCACACACATGCCGTAGACGCTGAAGAAACCGTGGGCGATCAGGTAGGAGCCGACGATCACCGTCTGGGCGAGGGAGGGACTGTTTCTGCATCAGCAGCTCCTGCCCCGAGCACCCACCCACCTGCCCCGCCTGGCTGGGCTCAAGTCAGTTCGGCTCAGCCTTCCGGGGACTAAGAGCCTGACCCGTCGCCACTGCCACTGCCAGCAGGGCCCAACCACCCACGTAGCGCACCCACTGTGCTTCCCAACCCCAGGGCCTTGGCACCTGCCGTGGCCTCGACAGAAGTCAACCTTACATCTTATTGCCCTGCTTTCTACTCCAACAGTGAGACGTTGGGTACCACCTCTGCCAGGAAGCTGCCTCTGACAACCAGTCCCTGTTTCTTACATGTTACTGTTTTTTTAAAAATAATTATTTTATTTATTTTAATTTGACCAGAGAGGGACAGCAGAGTGAGAGAGAGAGAAAGTGAGAAAGCAAGCCACCAGGTCCGGGACTTGAACCACAGTCAGCCATGTGGGAGTCCAGTGCCCCTAACCACCATTCCACCTGTTGGCCCCAGTAAAAACCTCTCTTAAGAAAAAAATAGAGGGGGGGACCAGCAGTTAGCGTGATGACTATGTCGCTGGACTCCCATGTAGCCGACTGCAGTTTGAGTCCCAGACCTGATGGATTAAACTCATGCCGGGTGCAAGTTCGTGCAGGCCCAAGATCCCAAGAGGAGAATGGGGAAGAAGGAATTGCGGCGTGGCCATCCTCCCTGGGGGGAATTTCTCGCTTTCTGTCTCTGTCTCTCTCTGTCTTTCTGGTGAGCGCATGCGCACTATAGCAAAATCTTCTCAAAAAAAAAAAAAAAAGAAAAAGGGACCAGCACATGGCATAGTGGTTACGTTCTCAGACTCCCACATGGACAACTGTGGCTTGAGTCCCGGATCTGGAGGCTTCGAACTCATGTCGGGCACATGTGCATATGTGCCCCAAATCCCAAAACAATGGAGGAAAAGGGACTGTAGTGTGGCCATTTCTCACTTTCTAGCTCTCTGTCTCTCTGGCGAGCTCATACACCCTATAGCAAAAATCTGTCCAAAAAAGGTTATTTATTTAGAACCAGCAGGTGGCATGGCGGTTACATCGCTAGACTCCCACATGGCTGACTGTAATTTGAGTACGAGATCTTGTGGCTTGCTTTTTCACTTTCCCTTTCTCTCTCTGGTCAAATTGAATAATAATAAATAAAATTAAATAAATTCTTTTTTTTTTTAATGAATTATTATTAATCATTATCATGTTTAAAACATTCCTACGAAGTGGGGCCAGCAGGTGGCATGGTGGTTAAAGGTGCTGGACTCCCATATGGCCGACCATGGTTTGAGTCCCAGACCTGGAGACTTTCTTTCTTTCTTCTTC